ATGGTTGATTACATTGATGTTATTGAAAAAGTATATATTGAAATTGTTTCATAACATAATAATTATCTGGAACAGGACAAACACAAAAAAATCAAAATATTTGGTCAATATCTAGATCGTTGCTGATTTCAACTAGACCCAATTCTTTCAATTAATGGTGAGACGTAACTGAGAATGTGGTGACCTCGGTCTGATGGTACATAGTATTTGAGTGTGTTAGTCACTATAGTATTGAAAGCAGAAAGTACGTAGATTATCAAATTACGGTAAAATTTTAATGACGTCTGTGCATCATAATAAGTTTTTTAAGTAGATAATCTTCCTTGGTTATGTTGAAATTTAATTATTCAACATATAATTGGACGTAGCTATGCAAAAAGGAACCAGGCGACAACGAGTAAGTTTGGAGTTATTTAGGTCCGAAGATATTCATTCATCAATAAATCAACAGAGTATTTCAATGGAACTTTTTCATTTTATGAGATGTATAAAGTCCTGCAGCATCTATCACAATTGATATTCTCATTTAAATTTCATCACAACTCATATTTCTTCTGAAAAATGTGCTTTGGTTCCATTTTGCATTTTGAAATTTCCGAAATTTCAAATGGGAACCAGAACGAAAAAAACAGATAAACGTAATACTTCATCTTGAAACAAAATTTTTCACAATCATGTTATCAGGTATAATGTACAGAGTCCAATGCCTCCGAGAATCCGTCGATGTCATCTTCCACAGTGTCGTCTGCGAAAAGTGTCGAATAAAATGGTCGGCAATCTTTTGGTATCAGATGCAATATCGACTTCATGTCATTGAGGTTTTTTTTCGCAATCCCCTTTTCTGTTGGCCACAGTGCATTCAGATTACTCCCTTTCATTCCACTTTGATTCACCGCCACTGATTCATCGTTCAAATTCTGCTTCATGAATATTGAATGAGGCTTGTCTTCCATCAATGTTATTTTCTTCGTTTTCAACCAACTTATGTCTTCTTTATTGACTCCTTTTTTGCGATTTGTGATCTGCGGCTCGATATTTTCGGCAATTCCAAAAAAATCTTCCTTCCCCATGGGGGACACTATCAGAGATTTCTTCTCGCGGCAAACACTCATTTTTTTAATTAAGAGAACGAACTCAAAGTCTCGCTCCAAGTAAATTATAATCAAATCATATGTGCTACATGTTTCGACTCCTAGGAGTCATCATCAGGCTAAAATACAACACTTATAAATGAAAGAAGTTCCATCACTATTGGAAAATGGGTGACATACCTTGCTAGGTAGGAAGAAGGAGAAAAGAAGGGAAACTATAAAATTGACGACATAGTTCATAAGGGTTTTAAGCCCCAAATAATTTCAAAAACTATGTCCTCAATTTTAGAGTTTCTTTTCTCCTCCTACCTAGCAAGGTATGTCACCCATTTTCCAATAGTGATGGAACTTCTTTTATTTATAAGTGTTGTAGTTTAGCCTGATGATAACTCCTAGGAGTCGAAACATGTAGCACATATGATTTGATTATAATTTACTTGGAGCGAGACTTTGAGTTTGTTCTCTTAATTATCTCATCACCTCCAATTAGAGCATGGACTACTACCAGAGACTCATTATTTTGTAGTAGTCATCAGGAGAGTAAAGACGTTGTTGCTTATTTAGTGCAGATTCTATTTTTCCGAAATCATCATCGTTTGGGAGATAACTATGACCTGAAATCAGGAATCGAACGGTGATTTTCCCACGAGAAGGATGGCTATTCAGGGCACATTTCAACATAAGTAACATTTTTATATTCCGATTTTGCCCACCACAAGAAACGCTCCACAAAACTAAATCTGTGATACCATCTGCAACTTTCTGTTCAATATGTTTCAGTAAACAAGAGACAACTTCTTGTGCACCTCGTCCTGCTACTTTTTTCACCCAAGGATAACAATAGCCCCTTTCCTCTTTACCAGAGTGAATGCCGAACGAAATAAAAACCATCCTAATTCAACACCAAGAGACGATCAAACATATATTCACAAAAAGGAACCATGTCGTATGGTTCCTTTCTGTATAACAGTTGGGGTGATTCTCTCGATTTGCGATGGTTCTTACCTATAATAAAATAGCCTATATATATAAAATTTGGTTGGTTCTTTTTTGCTAAGTGTAGTATGGATATTTGGGTTACCATTCATGTATATAACTGGATTCCGATGATCATGTCGCTTGTTTCCTTCTTGCATAAATTCGTCCAATTATGGCTATCGATTGATAGTAGATATGGATAAATTTCATTCAGATGGTTGATATCCGCTCTTTTGTTGATACAATTAGGTTCCTGGGCGATGAAAGATATTTCCAAGAAAGTTATTTTCTTGTGATTGTTCCCTGTATCTGGAATTTCTGCTCATTGAAAATCCATTTTATGGTCAGAGGATCTCACTTGGTCTGCTAAAGCACATCTACCTGGATGAAGTAGACAGTCGCTCCTGTGGGATATGATTATGTTGGTTATGATCTCTTTGATTGTCCGATTGTTACGTCTTCAATGGATGAAAATTATATTTTATATTTCTGAAGACAGTGATTGAAAAGTTATTTTATTTATTAAACAATTGACAATGACATCATGTACCACTAAAATAATGATTACTGAATCAACGGAGTTGATACAGGATGTATGATTGTTCTGCCAATACCTTTCTTCTTTTAATGAAGACTGTAGTCTTCTAACATCCTAGGAGTTCGACGTACTCTCATTGACCGCCTATGAAGTGGCTGGGTGTTAACTTGCTCGCTAGATGGTCCCTGTTCACTTGGTTGATCTTGTTCAACATCTTGAACTCATCGATCATCATGCTGAACAGGTTTTTCCAATATATCGACCGATTCACTTGGAAAAGTCTTTGCAGCACTGGCTGATGGTGTATCGAAAGTTCCGCCGGTATTTTCGTCGTTACATTCCTAGTTATCATCACGATTTTGTGAACCGAATGATTCGATGAGAATATTCAACGGAATTCTAGTTGGTTCACAGGATGGTAGTGTTTCAAGTTGCTCACTTCGTGAACGGAGTTGATTTGCATGTGATCTTATGAGGTCACCTCCTCTACTTGTTTCAAGAAGGACATTATACATCACGTTGCCAATCTTCCCAATAATTTCTCCAGGAGACCAGTGGTATGTGTTGTTTCTGTAAACTTTGGCGTAGACTAAATCTTTTGCTGAATATTCCCTGAATCTCACACCATGTTTTTGATTAAATTGAAGATCTTGTTTCTTCCCAGTAGTACCATCACAAATATCTTGCTTGCACCGAGGTGGTTTGATCAGATCTAAAGTGGTGCGCACTGGATGTCCTAGTAGAAGCTCAGCTGGCGATCTTTCATATGGTGCACTTCTATTCGGGGTGGAACGATACGTTGACAGGAACAGTGTCAGCTGCTCTCCTATATCTTCCCCCTGAATTTTCTTGATTCCTCTCTTGAATGATTCTACGAAGCGTTCCACTTGCCCATTAGACATAGGATGATACGGGGCCGTCCGTAAATTCTGAATTCCTTTCGAAACGCAGAATTTTTGAGATTGTTCTGAGGTGAACTGAGTTCCATTGTCCGATACCAAGCATACTGGTATTCCGAAACGATCAAAGGATTCTCTCATAGCATTGATTGTGTTACGGGAAGTTGTTGAACTCATTCGTGAAATTTCAAGCCATTTTGAAAATGCGTCGATGAGAATGAAGAATACCTCACCGTTCATTGGACTTGCGAAGTCGATGTGCAATCTTTTCCATGGTTTCTCTGGTATTGACCATGATGAAAAAGGTACTTTAATTAGAGATTTTGCAGTGAGTGAGCTATTTCTGCATTTTCTGACATAGTCTTCAATCTGCTTATCTATCCCTGGCCAGTATACGAATCATCTAGCTATTGATTTCATTCTTTCCATTCCCGGGTGACCCTTATGAAGTTGCTTCAGTACCTTTTCATGGAAACGTTCTGGAACAATCACTCTTTCCATAAACATCAGACAGTCTTGTATTATAGAAAGAGAATCTTTCCTGGCATAAAAGGGTTTCACGTTCTCGGGAACATCTGTTTTCTGGCCAACCAATATTCATGAATTGGATGACCGATTGTAGGTCTGCATCTTTTCTCGTTTATCCTCACCACCAACAACAATGCCGTCTAAGTAGGCATATACTTTTGGCAAGTCAGCAATCATGGTGTCCATGATCTGTTGAAAAGCACCCACTGCGGATTTCACACACATTGATGGACGGTGAAAATTAAATACACTTTGTGAGTGTTGATGGTCAAGATTTTGCTAAATTGTTTATCGACAGGAACTTGGAAATATGCATCCGATAAGTCAATCTGGCTGAAGAGTGCACAGTTGGCCATTTTTGAGAAAATTTCTTCTGGCAGAAGAAGTGGGTGACGGTATAGTTCCAGGATATCATTCAGTCCAGTTGAATAATCTGCACAAATTCTGATTGAATTATTTTTCTTATATGTTGCTGAGTCTTCATGACTTCGAGTATTGCTGTTTTGAATTCTTCCATTACCTCGTCGCCAAAACTGTTACGTCTTCAATGGATAAAAATGATATTTTATATTTCTGAAGACAGTGATTGAAAAGTTATTTTATTTATTGAACAATTGACAATGACATCATGTACCACTAAGGATGAGTTCCGTTTCCAATCCTGGTTATTGTTAATCGTTCCGTAATGATTGGTAAATCTTTGGTTGCTGAAATACTGGTAACATACGGAATGAGGTTCATGAAAAAAACTGTCACTTATCTGTCACCAGGCAACCAAAGGAAAGAAGGTGGTGAAAGCGGTGAGTGACGTGAGACGTGATAAGAAATTGACACTTGTCATCCAATAATGTTGTTTTTGGAAATATAATTATCATAAACAGTTCGTGGGTGCATGCAAGTAAGTAAAAAAATATTATATATTCAATAATATAATCAAATAAAATTATATTATTTCATAGGTAAAACATGGATATTATAAATTGTGGATATTGCCAGAGAGGATTAGGAACCATTAATGAAATCATAGCCAATGATGTTCCAGCTGGGCACATGTGCTTTTCAAAGTACCAAAGTGTTTCAATAGATAGAGAAAATAAAATGTATGGTGTTGATGAAAAAGATCAACTGAAGGATCCAGTAAAAAATGTTAGTAGTACTATAAGTAGAGCCCATGAATCTTCAGCTATAAAGAACGCCGACTCTAGACCAGGTACAAGTTTTGTATCGTGTTCATATTCCCAATCCCTAAGTACACAGAGTATGAAGATGGCAAACACACTTTTGACTTCCCGTATAAATGAGACTGATAATAATAACCAGTCATGGACTGATGCATCAGTGAAATCACCTATCCATGCATATAAACACAACATTGATAAATTTAGCTCACCTTTATACAATAAAGAGAAAGTTTGGGATAAGATCTCTGGAGAAATCAATCAACATGGAATCAAATTCACTGGGAAGAAATGTGATGAAAAATGGCGAAACTTAAAGAAGGTTTATGACAAGGTTATACAAAATAAAAGAAAAACTGGAAGTGGGCCAATTCATTGGCCATATTTTGATGAATTCCATGATATTTATTTCCGAGATCCCAGGTACAACCCAATAGCCACAGTGTCCAGTAGTGGTACACTCAAAAGATGTGTTGAAACTATCAGTATGGACTCCGAAACAAATTCTGAAAGATTTTCTCCTGGAGAAAAGAAAAGGAAGAGAGCTGTATCATCATATGATATAGATAAGAATAAACAGAAGAGACATGAAGAAAGAATGACACTCAAACGTGAAATGTTTGAGTGGTTTAAAAACAATTACACTAAGCCTAAAGAAAGCCCTTCTGAAGACATACTACACAGTGATGAGGATTCACCATAGTGGTTGTTCATTGTTTTCATACTTATTGAAGAATCTATGATTTTATGTTATCTGTTATGAATATTTTTCCAGTATTTTATGTTCTGTTGAATACCTATCTTTTTGTTTCAAGAATTACTTATTTATTTTATGGGCTCAGCAAACTATTTGCAGGGATACACTTATTACTTCTTACTATTTCATTCACTATTTGAGTTTGTTTTTCAAACATGTTCTTGCTGATTTGAGGATGTTTGCATAAAGAACAAAAATAAATGAATATGTACTACAATATAACATTTTTTATTTTATATTTACAAATCATTTCACAAAAAGTCATGATGATGAAAAAGAATTTCGAAAGAGTTCAAAAAAGGAAAATACATTTTGAAGAAACTCAAGACTTGGAATTCAATTTTGTATATTATTATATAGTATTTGACAAATTTCATCCCTTTTGATTTCTCCTAATATTTGTCTCTGTCTATCCTGAATAACACCTTCATTAGCTTCTCTCTCTACTTGATTATAATTTCCTGTGGAAATTCAAATAAATCATCTTACATAATGCATAAATTGTGTAGAACACAACATGCTATTATGTATTTAGCATCATAATCCAAGCGAATAAGGTCCAGGTAATTCAGACATCTGAATCTCTTTTTCAATAGGCAAAATGCTCTTTCTATGGTTGAACGAGCACTTGATAAAGTATAGTTGAAATATTTTTGTGCATCTGATAGATGTCCATTATCTTTGTATGGGGTTAGCAGCTGCGGCAAACATGGGTATGCCTTGTCCCCAATCAGATGTGTGTTATTTGGGAATGCTTCCTCTGGTCTCTCTATAATTTTGCTCCATAACTGGCTACTTCGAAGGAGTCTAGCATCATGTGTGGAACCTACTTCACCTGCATAGCAATCTATGAATCGTAATTTATGATCACAAACACCCTGAAATAAAAAATAATAATGAAATGGTGACTCTTTGTAGTTATTTGTGGTAAGATCTGATTCACTTCAAAGTTAATAAATTATACAGATATATATTTTTGTCCTACAAAAAAGAATGATAGTGAATTGAAAAAAAATTAATAAAATTAACTAATAATGCCCATAATTGCCATTTTGAAAATAATATAAACTATAAACAAAATTATGATAACACATACTTGCGATGTGTACATTTACTTATCTGTGGTATTCATTACCTGAAGTAATATGCTACTATAATTATGTCTATTTATATAAGACAAGCCATGGTCTTTCGGCTGTGGTATTTGTATATGGGTACCATCAATTGCTCCTATAGTATTTGGAAATCCCCCCAATTGTTGGAACCCTTCCACCACCTCATTCAGCTCTGCCTCAGTTGGCCATCTAATAATAGTTGGACTGATTGCACATAATGCATTGACCACTCGTCTCACTGTTCTCAGCCCAGTAGCTTTTCCAATGTTGAATCGACCACACACTGATCTGAAATAATTGAAATCTAAAATACTTCAATCAGAAGGTAGGACTCTTGAATTACCGATATGAGTCTGGAGTTGCCAAATACCATAAAGCAACCAAAAGCTGACACTTGGCATTAAGTGTATGATGGCCAACATCTCCTGGTACAGTTGATATCATTTCAGCAATTAATCCAAGGATATGCTGGAATGTACCTCTATTCATGCGAAAGTTTTCCCTGAACTGATGGTCATCATACTCATCCACAACTCTTTCTACAAAACCTCCTACTCTTGGTCGCAATCTACAATTATTAATTTTTTCATTCACGATTCAGAAAGTGCTGAAAGTTTAAATTACTCACCTCATAGGACCTCGAATTTCTATATCATCGTCCGTTGAGCTATCAGAGGATGATAATAATAATTCATTTACAAAATACTCGTCCATTTCTAGTGGTATACTTTTCTTTCTGGTTGACTTGTGAATGAAATATAATAATATGCATTCCGTAAATAACCATTGTGACCAAGATTTCAGATAACCAAAACGTCAAGATGTCAAAATTGACATTTACCGAATGGTTTGGAAACGGAACTCATCCTAAAATAATGATTACTAAATCAACGGAGTTGATACAGGATGTATGATTGTTCTGCCAATACCGATGTATATTTCATCACAATGCTGACAGGGGATACTGTACCCCACATTTATCTGTGCAGTAAGAGGTACTTCATCTTTTCATTCTTTCCATTTTCGAATTCCTCATCAAATTCAGCACACACTACTAGGAAGAATGCATTTTTATCATGGGGGTTTGTAATACATATCCTGCAATCTTTACCTGTTTGTTGCTACTCATGTTCTGCTAGCGTAGTCCCCGATTGCCTTTATAGACGATTAGTCTTTGTACAATAAAATAATCAACATTTGGCAATATTCAATTGTGTAGGTTTTGATGAATTCATAGAATGGTTGTAGGACAGTGCCATTTTTCTCTCTGTCATAGCCACATTCCTCATGCGATATTGGTATGGGAAAATGCTGCTAATGCTGTAGAGAATTTCGAAATTTAACGACCAGTAGTTGGAGATGTTGCAGATTCACACTATCGTGATGATTGTAGACAAGCATTTACAGATCTAGACATTTTGACATATCCTTGTGTTTTTATTCACAAATTTCTGAGCTATATAAGGAAACATTTATCTTCAAAAGACTCACCAGAATAATCATGACCATGATACGATAAACAGAATTTGAAACTTGAAACTCAAATTCTGTAGACTAGAAACATTTCTAGATGGCCCTAGGTGCCTTGCTGTACGTTTATTTGATGTTTCACCTGACAAATTCAAACGGATCAAGTTGTTACAATGCACGATATTTTACCTAGGCGGAGCCTTTCTCGCTGTTGATATCATCTGATATATAATCTGCAAATATTTCGCATCGAAGATTTCAAACGTACTAGGAATTCTCGTGGTCATATTTCTGTATGAGTTTCAGGAATTCTACCGTTCTACGAAAATTCAATTCTTGTGAATACAACGCATTGACAGACAAGTCATCTATCAGAAACGACCAGTTGAAATATTATGAGGAGCCTTTATAACTGGCAAAACCCCTTCACTGAAATGAGGGGGCTCTAGGTCTGGTATAGCGAACCCATAATACCTCCTGTTGGTTATAGTGGAAATTGAATCCCCCTGACACTCTGTTTTTTTTTATTTGTCAGCTCTTATCTCACATCGTGCTAAATACTTATATCTGGAGGCTCATTTTTGTCAGGTTCACCTTTGCTGATTTCGATTCAGCCTCAGCTGCAGTTACCATATTTACTAGTAACAGATATTTACACATAGAACAGTCTGCAACTGAACTGTAGACATTCGAATTATTACTCCATATCAAGAAACGATGAAGTTTGTTTATTGAGAATGAATGATCATCCCGATGATGTAACATGATGGCTCATAGATATTGCAATCAACAATATATGGTAGGATGCACATGAATAATTTTTCTGGCAACACTACCTAGTGATATATTATAAATATTGACAATGAGTATGGATTAATAATGATAAACAAATATTGCTACTCCGTTCATGAATAATGTTGAGACAGAAAAGAAAATATGTATATGCAAATATCCAAATATCCAAAAAATGCCTCAAATTATGTCAGTATTTTATATATTTATACAATGTAGTGACTCAAACATTGGGTGAGAATATGGAGAGCCCATTTAGAAAGAATATTTCGGATATAATTATTGTCAACAAACATGTATTCCATATACAGGGTGTTTCAAAACAACCTAACCACCTTGCTAGGGTGGGAAGACCATTGCAAAATGATTTGTGTTTGATTATCAAAAAAATTTCGTAACGCCATCCGTTTTCAAGATACAAGGTGTTGAAAATATATTTTTTTTACACATTTCTTACGATCATGTTGAAACTACTGGCAACATTGTAATGACATTTCGTATGGATGTTTCATGGAATCAGACACATCGCATGCAATTGTTTTTATATCTGACTCTCATAAAGGGCGCTAGTTGCACGGTTCGTATGGGGGTTGTCCACATATGAATTATTTATTTCGTGAATCAGAATAGCCAAATATATCGACAAACTTTTCAATTCGAATCTTCTCAATTCAAAAAAACAATCGAACATCTATTATATATCGAAGACTGGAACCTTTGGCACGATAATACACTACACTGTTTTACCACCAACCAAACCGATTTTTTAACGCCTCGACACGTGTTTCGCTAACTATGTTAGCATCTTCAGTTTTAATCTTCTCCTGAAGATGCTAACATAGTTACACACGTGTCGAGGCGTTAAAAAATCGGTTTGGTTAGTGGTAAAACAGTGTAGCGAACATCTATTGATTAAATAAAAAAACCTATCGTCGCTAACAAAGAGAATAGCCTTGTCTCTTGATTTTTCAAATCCTGTTTTCCAGCATCTACTGAGTGTTCAGATGTTCAGATCCCTACATAACTCATCTCCAAATGGAGTGATAGATAATGTAGTGAAAATCAGATTTGAATTTTTTGATTCTTCGTCAGATCAATGATAACTTGTTTTCTTTCAGAATATGTCCTTGGTCCTGTAGATGCTGAAGTAGACGATTGTGATGCTTCAGGCTCTGCTGGTACCCTTAGTGATTTGGAGCTGTGGAATACATCGTCGCTGACTAAATGTGCAGGTTTAAGTCGCTCAACGTTCACGTTCATTTCTCGACCATTCACATTTATTGTGAAAACTCGATCATCCAGTCTTTTGATTACTTGATGAGGTCCAGTGTATGGTTGTTCCAAGGGACGTTTCACTGCATCTTGTCTCAAAAAGACATGTGAACAGGTGTAGAGGTCTTTGTGACAAAAAGTTTTCTGACGACAGTGGTGAGCTGCAGGAACTGGCTTCACGTTTCTCATGTGTATCCGAAAGTCTTCCAGGAAATATTGTGGATCCTCTGGTGGATCTTCATGAGTAAAGAACTCACCAGGAATTCGAAGTGTTGTTCCATAAAGGAATTCCGCTGG